AAAAAAAAAAAAAGCCTAATTAGCGAAATTGGCAGGTTAAAACTCTAAGGCCATCTCCAGCCCTTATCTCTACTCTAAGGCGGATTTTACTCTACTCTAGAGTAGAGTTGAACATTCATCTCCAGCCCTTATCTCTATACATTTTAGTCTATATTAAATATATATTTTTATTTATTTCTTATTTCAAATAAATTGGTATTATATTTAATCTTATATAAAATGTTAATTACTCAAATAATAAATTGGTATATATGTATATTTAATCTTTTAAAAATGAGCAAGAACGAATTCTGAAAAAAAGAGAAGCATTGTAGCCATCACAAGCCAACAACACTTTTGGTTCTTTCAGTGAGTTTTTTCAAAATCTTGGCGGGTCTGGAAGTGGTTTGGGAGACTACTAGAATTATTTGTGTGTTCCTTTGATTTTTATGTCATTTTTAATCTTGATGTTTTATTTGTGTGTTAAGTCAGTTTTAATCATGTTGTTTTTATTTATGTTTTATGATTTATGTGTGTTGTAAACTTTAATTTTAATGAAATAAACTTGTTTGAGTGTGTTAAATTATTATTCATATGGTATCATTTTAATATTAAAAAATTACAAAATAAAATTATAATACATCAATAAATAAAAAGCACAAAATTATTTAGCATAGAAAATACATTACACAAAGTTATCAGTAAAAAAAATACATTTATTAATACACATTATACAAAAAATATCATTTAGAATACATAAAACAAAAAAAAAAAAAAAAAATATGGCGTTGCTACAGTGTTGCGCCACATCTGGTGCAACACTGTAGCAATCTGGGAAGTAGCGTGAAAATCTTAAGCAGCGCTGGAGTGAATATTTGCGCTACAAAAGAGTAGCGCGGTCATTCTAGCGTTGCACTGTGGTTGGTCCAAATGAGGTTCAATCTGAAAATTTTACACTACTCCAATTACATTCAAACCGGGTATATGAGTTTTTAACATTTTTTGAAATAAAAAATGAGTAACTGTGATTGGATATAAACTTGACTAGTAAAAATCAATCAAAACTCAAATTTAACTCAACTTTAATTTAACTCCACTATCATCAATATTATCAATATAATTAAATATTATTAACCAATAATTCTTACATATCACATCAACTTTAATTCACTATTCATTCACTCACATAATTTTAACTAATCATCACTCAAATCATTTTTTTTCTTATTTTTACATCAAATCAACTTTAATTATTTTATTTTAAATAGTAATTTAATTTAATTTAAAATTTACACTAACAACTAATCATGCCACATTTTTCAAAATTAACTATTGTTAAAAAAGGTAATAAAAAACAAATCAAATCCATATAAAATCACATTCACATCTCAAGCTCGCATTCGGTAAATGAGGGTGTGAATGGATTTGGATTTGATTAGTTTTTGATTGGTTTTTTTTAACTATAGTTAATTTTGAAAATTGTGATATAATTAGTTGTCACTGGAAATTTAAGTTTAAACTAAATTATTATTTAAAATAAAACAACTAAAATTGATTTGACGGAAAAGCATAAAAAAAATAATTGGAAGTGGTGATTAATTAAAATAACGTAAGTCAATGAATAATGAATTAAAGTTGATGTGATGTGTAAGATTAATTAGTTGATATATTTAATGGAACATGCTACAAGTACATAATATATGTACACAGAGGTGTACATAACACTCACATGAGATGGGGTCATTTGATTTTTTAATTATAGTGGGTCCCACTTAATGTAAGTGTTATGTACACCCTTATGTACAATATTATGTACTTATAACATTACTCTTATTTAATTATATTGATAATATTGAGATAGTGAAGGTGAGTTAACATTGAATTAAATTTAAATTGTGATTGGTTTTTGTTAGGTAAGTTTATGACCAATCACATCCTAATGACGTTTTATATTTTTCATTATTCTAAAAATCGTCCTAGGCGGCCGCCTAGGCGCTATGCAGTGTACAGGCGCCTCCGATTTGCACAGATCGCCAGAAAAAATTGGCAAGGCGATGCCTAGGCGGGTCTAGGTGCTCCTTGGCGGGCTGGGCGGTTAGACGATTAGGCGGCGCGTAGGCGGGCATAGGCGGACCTAGGCGTTCCTAGGCGGGCTCGACGATAATTTTTCAGTTTTTTTTTTTTATTTTTTTAAATACTAATTACAATATGTTGTTCTCATTTTTTTTGAAAATATATTAATTTTATTATTTGAAATTAGGTGTGTCGATTTACTATAAGTTGAAATAATTTTATTTTTTAAGTAGTTAAAATAAATAAAAAATAAGGTATTTGATATTGATTTCTAGGCCCCGACTAGGCGCCGCCTAGGTGCTCTAGGCGTTGGTCGAGCGCCTAGCGACTTTTAGAACACTGATATTTTTTGACCACGTCATTCACTTAATTTTTAACTACGTCATTCGCCTAATTTCTGACTGCATCTGTATATCTTTGGAAATCAAGTTAAGCTATGCAAACTAATTATAGCACAGCTACGATACGTGGGACCCGAGATGGGGGAAAACTTTGAACTTTGAAGTGGGTAATATGAAAAAATGATGGAAAAAGTAAAGGGGAAAAAATGAAATTAGGAACTAAAGCTTGTTTTTTCGAATATTGAGTGAGATACCTTAAGATTCTTTATCCGAATCTCTTACTTACTTAGGTCGCGATTCATATGGGTCCCTCCTGCTGGTCGAGGTCGAGCTGTATTATACCTTTTTATGGTGAGGTCATCCTTTAATCTAAAACCGACATCCTTCACGTCGCCTTTATGATTCCCATGTCGCCTTATGTCGTCATCGAGCTGTTTAGTCGTCTTGCCCTCGTTAATCTTCCTTAAACTCGATCTGTTCAGGTCGTGTTTCCCATTAGTCGACTTCCTTACACTTGTAACAATCCGGTCCACGCATTATGGCTTATATCAGTCTTCTTTGGAAATCAAGTCAAGCTATGCAAACTAATATTATAGCAATGTTACAACCAAGTGGATACGTTGGACCCTAAGATCTGGGAAAAGTTTGAAGTTGTATGGAAAAAATGAAGGAAAAAGTAAAGGGGAAAAAAGTAAAAATAGGAAAACAAGCAGTGAATGTTTTAGACATCTAGTTAAAATACTCAAAATAACTGTAATGTTAAACTATGTTTAAGGGATGGAGTAAAAAGCCCATGATCTTATTAGATCTCTTTTGCAATATAAATAGACCTTATTCCTCATTCAACTTACACACACAATCACAAGAGTAGAGAAANAAAAAAAAAAAAGGAGAGAGAGAGAAGAAAATGGCTTATAATTATTCAAGAACCTGTTGGATGGCCTTGTTGGTATTGGCCCTCTTATATTTCAGTGGTCCGCTGTCGGCTGGCGCCTCCCGGGAGAAAGATAACCAGCTTCCCAAACCTTACAAGTAATATATCTCTCTTTATGTGTGCTAATATTTATGATGAAGCAAATGCTCAATCAATTTTTACGCATGTTGGTAGGGAGTCTTGGATCAATGATGGGCTCGCGAAGAAGAATCCTCCAAAGAAGCCGAAGAAGCCAAACACGCCCCCGACTGATGCTTATAGGCCAACAGCACCTGGCAATAGCCCAGGTGTTGGCCATAAAATGAAACGTCGTCTTGCTACAAAACCTTCTGCTCAATAATGAACCATGGCACCTGGCATATAATAATAAATGTATGGATGAAAAAGCTTTTTTTACTCTTCAATATAATTATTATTATTATTTTTTTTCCTATTATCAGCTTAATGAACAGTTAATTGTGGCTTGTTTTCGAGTTTACAGACATATGGAACTAACCTCTTCTTAATTTCTGTTTGGCTTTTTGATTTTTTTCGTTGCGCTTTTTTACGATGATCAGAAAGGACAGCTGCAGCAAATAAAGGGTGGAGCTTCAAGTGAAGAATGATGTAGTAACGAATCATGAAATAATATTGTATCAGAATGTTTGTATACTCATGAAATGAAATAAAAATGCAGCTTCAGATATTTATTATCCAACTATTAATCAGTTTTTTTAACTTGACTCGCCGACCCGAGACCCCGGTCGATCTGGAGCCATGATCTGTCCTGGTGGGTCATTCCGACCGGGCAACAAATGTACCCAGTCAACTCGGTCGTGAGGACTAAGATCATATTTCATAAATAAATTAACAACTTTCATCTTTTTATTTAAGAAATGGCTATGAAGTATACTAACAGCCAAAAAAATAAAATAAAATAAAATAAAATAAAAAAAATAAATAATAGAGAAAAGATCTTATACGAGGAGAAAAGAAAAAACGAAAAAACAATTATCATTTTAGCTGAACAAATCTTATAAAAAAATATTTGTTTTTTTTCGAATTTATTGGATAATTAAATTAAGTTTATCTAGAAAAAAAATGATTGGGTGGTGATATTTTGAGTTTATATTTTAATAATGTTAAAAATATAATAATTAAAGTTGATGAAGTTTCAAAATATGAGTTGTTGAAAATGATGATTATAGATTGTTAATAAAGTCCATTAAGTATTTTAAGTTTGAGTTTGAATTGTAATTAAAAAACTAAAAGACAAAAAAAATCCTTTCAAAGATTTTTTTTTTAACCAACACCCAGGAGGGTGGGGTTAGGTAGGACCCCCACCCTGTATATATATATAGGAAAAGACACTAAATGGGCTGAAAAGTCACAATATACAAGTACATTGTCTGTAATACATTAAGTCAACCGAAAAGCAAAACCAAAAACCAAAAACCAAAAAAAAAAAAAAAAAAAAAAAAAGTTGGCAACAACTGCCATTTCAGTAATACAAGAACAACGTCTCCTGGTCCGGAAGAGTTTCAGTTAAGTATTTGTGATTATGAAAGACAGTTCAAGAAAAAACAATAATATATATATATATATATATAGAAGATTTCCATAATTCGCCGAAAAACTATTATTAGAAAGAAAACCTTTTCCACCCGCCTTTGGTGTCCATGGATATGGATGTCATTTTACCGATTAAAGCGATTCAAAGCCTGAAAGATGCGCTGTCCTAAGCCTTAAGTTAAGGGAAGGGACATTTCAATTCGTGCGGTTTAGTAAATTTGATATCTCCTTCCGAATTGAAGCTCGGGGCTTTTCGGGGGGTATTTGGGTGCTGTGGACTGCTTTCTTGTGTGGTGAATACGGGATTCTTTCACTCCTAAATCTAACTCTTTAGTGAAAGTCTCTATTTCACTTTCAAACAGACTGAAGTCGATTCGTTGTGGGTATTGGCAACTGTCCAAGCTAAAGAGATTATTTGACTGTCGGAAGATGAGTTTGATTTGCATCAACTGTTAGAAGTCCAAAGAAGTAGTGCTTTCTACGGTACGATCCGCAAAGACCTTTCTTCTTTTATGCAATTTGCGGGACCGCAACTTCAGACTAAGGCGCCGTACTCCATTTCTTTCGAAAGTAATTAATTCATGCGAAACTATAGCCCTCGTGCGACTAGCTCTTATACGAGTTCCTGGTAAACCACTACTTGCGTAAAGTACTCCACTCGCGCTCCTTTGGTTCGTATCAGCTCGGGGCTTGTCCCCTTGAGAAGAAAGGCTTTCACGCCTTCGACTCCCTTGAAGTAGATTGAATGTATTCAAATGTTAACTAGTTTCCCTATTGGATTTGGCTCCTTTCTTTATGATGCCTAATCCTAAAGCTAGTGGAAATGAAAGCAAAGGCCCGCTGCCGAGCAATTTACTATTACTGAAGTTGGTTCTGAGTCGGTTATTTGCCTTGGTGATGGATGAGGTCACAAGGGACATTGATATGGGATATTATACGCACTAGACCGGCTCACCGGGTCAACCAGATAAAACAGGTTAGCCGGTTTGGTCGAACAGAGTAGTCGTTGAGTGATAGGAGTAGGAAGTCGAAGATGCGCGGATTCAAGAGCACTGGGAAATTACCCTCTTCACTGAGCCTTGGTCGAGGAAACAGGTGGCCGACTACTGATGGTCGTGAGATCGACCACTTTCCATCCTAGGGGCAGCTGAGCGATTGTGCCAGGTTCGTTCGAACGTCGGAGCCTCCAAAGAAATCTCCAGCACATGCAGGGAGGACACACAACGCATAAAGAATGGTCCATAGCGATAACGACCTCTGACACCTCCTGACGCGTTCTGACACATTCCTGATACCTAAATAGTGGAGGCAGAGGATCGTACGACCGGGCAGTTGGGGCAGCCAGCTCAGCTCGCCCGGGTAGCATCTAGGGCAGGTAATTCACCATATAAACAGGGGTGAAATCCCTCGTTTTTAGATATAATCTCTCATACTCTTATATTTTTCACACATATATTCATTTTCTCAAGGCTAACTTGAGTGTTGGAGACTTTTCACCGAAAAATCCCTCTGGTGTGAGAGTTATGTGCATGTTTGGCGTTCTACTGGCGAGGAAGGCAAGCTCGAGAAGGTTTCCAGCCGGTCGGGGCGTTACACTTGTATTATATATAAAAAAGTTTGATTATTTTTTAAATAATAATTATTTCCCTCCAAAAAAATCTATTTACTATTTTGCGAAATTAATTTAACAATTTATGCTATATATCAAATGATCACTTATGGAAATTGGGGCTCATTATTAAAGGAAGTAATTAAGCCATATTTAAGATATCTTAATTAGTTAAACCATGTGAATTAATTAATATATGGTATAAAGTGGATGAATTTATTTTTGGTATTGATGGTTGTTTCTATAGGGAATAAATTAATCAATATATGGTATAAAATGAGCAAATTTAAATTCAGGTTATTTGATGACTATTTTTTGTAGAACTTTTTTGATGGAAACTTAATCACTCCGAAAAAATATTATGAACTGATACTTTGATATATAGTGCGTGTATCGATGTTTTTGTATACAAAAAAGCTTTGGTCATTTTTTTTTTGGGTATAATTAGTGGGTCTCGATTTAATTCATTTTTTGTTACGACATTCAAATAATTTTGTGTGAAATGCATTGTTCATTTGTTTTTAGCATGATAAGGAGTGTCGATTTTTTTGGCATATTAAATCTTATGACTTATTGTTTTTACTCAGCTACTTAAATATTTCGATTTGGATATTTTGTACAAAAATAATTTCATTTTAGTTAATGAAACAATATAAATTTCATATTTATACTTATTTATACACATAGGCTTTTAAATATATGATAAAATTTACCAGAATAATTATTTTATGGAATCACGTTGTAGCCAAATTGAATTTCTGAATACAAATTTGAAAATGACACATATTTTGAAACTAATATAATGTGATTTATTATCAGTTATGTGCAACGCGGGGGTTGTGTACTAACTTTAAATAAACATTTTATGTAAATTTGCACAATTTATATTTTATAACAATAGTTTCTATAAATTCATATATGTACATTGTATTAAATATTGACTCCTTGCTTTTAATTTATAAAAATTATTTATTGAGAATTTTTAATTTATAAATATTAATAAATATTTCTTACTCGTGCATCCCATGAGATTCGTACTAGTTTTTATGTAAAAAATTTAATTGTCGAAGCAAAATTGTCAGCCCTAATTACAATTACCATATGATCAAGACACCTTATGATTGCGCAGTATGCATATTTTTTTTTTTTTTCTTTTTTTTTTTTGGTACAGGGACCTTCCGGTTTTCAGATCCACAAGGGAACCGACTAATATTTTCAAATGACTGCTTTAGTATATTCTCCTTTTGACTTGTGTTTATATTTTCTAAATGACTAATTCAAGCATCTTGACTAAAAATGACCCGAAATTACTCTCTCCACATACAAATACGAGGTTAGACGTCACTAATAAAACGTCATACGTTAAAATAAATAAACCAAAAAATAACTCTATTTGAGCCCACAGTTATTGAGGATCACATATATTTTCACACTTGGACCAGTCCGAATGTTCGACAAGAAATTCACTTTCATCAATTTTCAATCTTCAATTT